TGCACTGCAAAGCCCATAAATCAAATGGTCTTTAATAAAGGCAGTATTGTGGCAATCCTTAGAATAGGAATAGGAAAACCAACAATCATGACTAAGGCTATCCAAATCAAGGAAGGGCATACGTATCCATCAATGCTCAAGTCAACACAAAAGTGAAGCCCACCTTGCTTCTTTTTCACAAGCACCACAAGAAGGACAATACCCATGGAAGGACAAATGACACCACTGGCAAGCATTTAATTGACGTTATTTGTTGCTTTTTGCTGTAGGTGGAGGGGGACCTTTCATGGGTGCATGAGATTCTCTCCTGTGTCGATCTCATGTAAGATCAAGTGAGTTCAGCCTAAGTCAGTCTCCCCCTGACTAAACATAGAGATGCACTAATGGTCTAACTGTTTTTAACTTCCTAGGAGAGTAGCCCTTCTCTTCCACCCTAAACTGGAGTGTGTCGACTGTTCAAGGCTGTTTAACCAACCACTCAAGCTACCAATATGTCACAGTGTTCAGAGAGAGAGGGTTCCAAGATCACTTATGTATAAACCCCACCTGCATCTGGACCTGACCCCAAACAATGGCCTCATTGCGTGGAGGCACTATAGTATCAGATTGGGCAGCAACCACCTGAGGCTCCAATGATGGGGTAAGATCAACCAGGGGACAGAGTTTTCCCATTATCTGTAAGGTCTTTTTTACCAGGTCAACCACAGCACCATACTGCAATAAAAAGACAAAACTAACTCTTCTGAAAGAATATCACAGACTAAAAACTTGGCAACAATCACCAGAGAATCAAATTGACATACAGTCTGCCAGCACCCCACAATATGCATCTCCCACCATTAGCCGCTGTAGCCCTGCCAACATAGTCCACTAAATCACACCCTCCTTAAGTAGCAGAAAGCCTTGGCTGTGACCCAAAAGCTGTGGTAGTTGTTGTATGTTTTTGTCTGGTTAAAAGAGGCTCCTGGTAAATTCAAGGTTAAAATAGAATCTGTTAAATAAAATTAACTAAAATAACCTTTTGTTAGCTAAAAGTAAAATAAGTAACAATATTGAGGGGTTTCCTAATAATGACTCAAATAATGGAATGGAATGGATTTTATTTTTTTTTAGATTGAACCTAAAATCCAAAATGAATATTGGCACACACATACACACACACACACCGTATTAGTTTGGACAGTTGGGGCCACTTATAAAGTCCTGTGACCAGCTTCATCCACTTCTTTCTCAGCTATTCTTTCTATCAATTAACCTTTAAGCTCTCCCTCCTTTTGCAGGCACATTAATAGAAGATTGAGGAAGGGGTGTGTAAAAACCAAAGAAGCGTGGAGAGGCACTCTCCATTTCCTGAGCTGAAATAATCAATACTCTATGAATATTCTGATCAGAGTCCTTAGGCCTGGGGAAAATGTCAACATTCAGTCCACAAGACCAACTAACTGAAGAGACAAGAAAAAATAAGAAAAACAGAAACAGAACTAGAGAAAGGAAATGCAGAACTTGAGAGGGAGATAGAAGAAAATTGCTGAAGGAGGCAAGTAAGTGTTGTCAGCTCAGGATGCTTTCAGCACATATCAGCGCCTGTTCTAGTTTTTATTATGAACTCTGACATCGTTTCAGCTGGAACTACTTGAATTGGACCCAGCTGCAAATGTATGTATTGTGTAGTTTTTGGAAAACATGCTTATTCAAATTCTTGCATCTAGCATGATGAGAAGATTGTCTGGGAAGATTGTGTGGTCTGTAAAGTGAAGCTAACGCTGAAGTGTCTTAAACCTGCATTATTTCTAATAGCCAACAGGGGGCAGCTCCATGGGCTGCAAAAAAGAAGTCCAATAGAACTGAGCCTTATGGGGAAATTATACTCCTTCTAACTTGATTTATTAGCTCAGTAAACAGTTTCCTAATGAGTTTATGGTCTCAGTCTTTACTTTCAAGTCTTCTTCCATACAGCATGATGTTCATTTAGTAAATTAACTCATGCTACACAACAGAATCATCCAGAAGTATAAAAAAGGGCACCACTTATTTTATTTTCATCTAAAAAAGGTTTACAGCCGGATATTAATGTTCTTATCCCGCTTTGCAAAATTCAATTGCTGGCGTCATGTTCATGGTGATAGATCACCGTTACTGAATGAATCAGAAGTCTCTGCAGGTGTTGTTGCTATTTGGTATCGATTGGGGCAGAATAAGCCCAAGAGGTTTAGCATGTGCTTATTCGTGACACAATTGACATTACAGGGAGGAACTGCTTCTAAAAAGTGATTAATCTGCTGTTAAATTCAGTATCACAGTAAAGAAGCTGTGATTAAATGACTGAAATTCACATTAAGGGCTTACACACTACACAAATCCAGATTCCATATTGCTCGTTCAAGTCATGTAAAAGTCATAGAAAATCATTTGCAAAGATAAATTATTATTTTGATCACTGTAATGTAGTTGCTAATAACCGGCTCTGATTAGAACACTTTGTAGGGCACAGCATTAAATTTCCCAACTCTAATCACTTGTGACACTGGCTGAATAAAATCCAGGGCTGATTACTTCTCTTCCTGGCTGATTTAACTGGTTCCAGAAAGATGACAACCAGCATCAGGGATCACAGTCCCACAACGTTCTGAAGTGATTCGGTCAGTGCACTGGATCCAACATGGCTTCCTTCATGGATCAGTATTTTTCTACATTCTCTGGAGTTCAGAGTCACAGTGCTTCAGCATGGATGGTGGCAATTACCTTATTTATGCATAGCTACCATGCTTTAATGAGCACAACAAGAAGCTTCCAACAAGTACATTTAGTTTTTCAAATTACAAATGCATGCACACAACAGTAATATATATTTTTAAATGCAATTAAACCTGTAGCCTGTGACTACAAATTTTGTTGCAGATCATTAAAATTATGTGTCACATCCACATTACAGCTCATATTTGCCAATATCTCACCTCCTGCAACAGTTCTGAGCATTTACTTAATTGATAATGCACTTTGGAAATGCACCACATCAGTCCGTCAGCTTTAGCTGCATTTGGTGAGCGATTGCCTGTGGTCCTGGCCCCTTGTATCAACGACTTAAACCTCCCCTTTTAAGTCGTCAGTTGCACCTCTTTCTACCAAAACAAGAGGTCGTAGACCTAACAAAGAAACAACACAAATGGCGTTAATAAAAAGAAAAAGTTTTCCACAGCTCATGGCAATAGTGGGTATTAAATTACATAATAATATTAGTACCATGCAAATAGCATATCTGTGATCTGGGGTCGTATTTTTTTTAATTTATTTTTGCAAGGTATTGTAATGGCAATTTTTAAGAACCTATACAACCCTTTGACCTGGTCATTGTAAAACCATACACAACTGTTGAAGAGGTCATTATATGCATACAACCTTTAGCCCTGTTTCTAACTACACTCTATGTCCAAGTAAACAGCGGGATGTTGAGACTTCACTAAGAAGCCAAGGACATGATCATCTCACCACACTATCTGTCTGTTTACTGTCCCAGAACTCAGGAATGTGTAACTGTGTGCTCCAACAGGGATAAAACTACAACAACAAACATACTGCTTCTTACAATCGGGGCTCTTTCGGACTTTCACATACGAGTGTGTGGCGGTTGCGTTGAGACCATTCATGGATGACTTCAATAAAACCTTACAGAAAAACAAGATCATACTTTTAATGCTTTATTAAATTGCCACCACACTAGTTAAAGTAGCATTAACGTTACAACAATGTTACGAACAAAACATTGATGTAAGAAATAAGTGGCCATGCTTGCTAGGTAATGTTACCTGATCAACAGGTCGCTAGGTAGCCAGCTAGCTCAATGTTAAGTTTGTAACATCTATGTGCAAAACAGCTAAATACAGAGCTGTCAGGGCACAAGGTGCCCCCAGCCCATATTGTGAGCAGTTCTTGGTTCTAGACAGCAAAGTGTTGGTGCCAGGCTGGAACCAGTTTTGTCGGGGTCCTGACCCCCAGGTTGGGAACATCAGAAACATATCTACAGGAATGTCAGTGGGGCCATGTCCCCGAGTGAAATCAGTGTTTCTTTCCATAGCTGTCAGCTGTGTGTAGAGATGAATGAACACTTTGTGACTTAGAGATAGTTGCACGCAGGTGTGACATCACATCTACTTGTGCTACAGGATTGGACAAAGCCCTGAGGGAAAGCCTTTGCCCCTGATGTGGTTTAAACAAACCAGCTTTCTCTCAGTTGTGCAGAAGGAGATAAAGGTAAGGACATTGTGATCAGGAGGATTTTTCAACCCAAAACAACAGTTAACCTGTCCTCAGGTGTCAGTACCTGACACCTCCTCAAATACCTGCCTCTCAGTCACCCACTCTGCACATGTATCAGTTTATGTGATAGGCTGTGAGGTTTCTAGAGTTGTAGGAAGAGAATGGGCACACCACTTGTTGAGTCTTGTTGTGTCTCTCTCTCTCTTGCCAAAGTGAGTCATCACCTGTCGCTCTGCCACTCCCAATTCTCTTACAGCCACACCTGAGAGTGCATAGTAACAAAATACTAACACTTGTCTGTGAATAAAGCATAGTGACGCATGGACTTGTACACATATGCACGATCAGATCACTCACACCTGTGAAAGAGAACAAAAGAATAACAGTGTTCCTTAGGAGAACCACAAATCAGTTTATCCTTTGGTGTCAGAGGTGGCTCTGCATGTTTAGGTCTGTGATATAGTACCTGTGTGACTTTGTTCTTCAACAGAACCTGAAATGTCCCTTTTTCTCAGACCTAACCTATCCTGGGTGGCAGTAGAGCCTTAGCTGGAGTGTTGCACGGACCACAGTATGGATTGGGGACTAGTAGCTTGAGAGGTGCTCGTTCACTGCCTGGGCACTGCCGAATCACGCAAAGCTACTCTAGTACAGTCTCAGACTAAGAAGATAGAGCTGGAAATCAGCAGAATGGGTCCCCTTTAATAAAGTACATCTTCCTTTTGTCTTTATCTCTATAATCACAGGCAATGATGGACCCTTCTGCAAAAGTGTATCGCCGCATCAACATAAATCATTATGCCACTAAGAAGACTGCTGCTCAGAGTATGCTAGACGTTGCCTTACTGATGGCCAACTCGTCCCAGCTGAAGACTGTTCTCTACGTGGGGCCGCATTACCAATTCTACATCCCCCTCATCGTCCTGCTGTCTCTGTCCATCACATTACAGGTCATAGTGGGGCTGCTGCTCGTCTTTCTTGGCAAGTGAAACTTTTTGCATCTCCCCATTGTTATTAGTCTACTTGCCAGCAATATGAACCCAGAAATGTTAAGTACCCTACATTTTCTGGGGGGTTATTATTATTATTCAAAGTACAAAATGAGCTTTTAAACTGGAAGTAGGCTGATTTTGATTATTTCTAGTTGATTTTGAGGTTATTTATATGCTTAATATATTGGATCTGCAATTTAGAATCATGAAAGGTTGATGTCATTGGTGTGAATTTTCAGACGTAATATTTCTCCAAATTTCTTCTTCTTGCTGTGTAGCATTTTTTTCATTGACCTGAGTATTTGCTGCTGTGGTGTATTAAGCATAATTGTACAAGCATAAACAATTCTTGTACAATTATGACAGTTATTATAGACAGACAGTTTGTATTTTGAAATTGGGGGTTATTTTCCTCAATAACTACGCCTATATTGTCCAAATTGTCCAAGCAGTTGCTGAAATATTGTCCATGTAGGTAATTATGCTTATTAATGCTAATTATGCTAATTGCCCAACATAGTCAAGTTAGCATCCAGCAGTTTCTAAATGCTGGGTATCCTTACCCTACATTTCATAAAACAAAACATTTGGGGTTGTCAACATTTCCGGGTTCACAAAACGGCTCTGTTGGCTGGCAAACAAATTCTACTGTTCCTCCTTCTCCATCTTTCTTTCACCTTAAATACATACATTTTGATATTGGAATCTTCATGTAGGATACAAATAGTTTTACTGATGATTCGATGAATCAAGAGAATTCAATCAAACTTTAGAACAAACTAAAGCCTCAAGCGTCTGCCTTACTGTGTCATGCTTTCCTTCCTAGCGTTTTGCATAAACTAATGCATTCGAAGCTGTAAGATGATGAAGTCAGCATAAAAGAATAGTTAGACATTTTGGAAACTATGCTTAATTGCTTTCTTGCTGTGAATTACTTGAGAAGATACCATTGTCATGTTTTTAGGGTAAATACGAAGCTAGAACCAGCAACTGGTTGGCTCAATGAACTGCACTTTCATGGCACTTTTCCACTTGCCCATAGGTAGAGTCATGCCCAAGGACCCTTTATGTGGACAGGAGGAGCTGGGGATCAAACTGCCAATTCAGTGACTAGTTACAAAATCTGCCTACCAGCACCTCTAAAGCTCACTGGTCAACACATTATTTCTCCTGCATCCAGGAAAAAAACCTCTAAAATCTAAACTTATGTTTTTAGGCAAAGGAAAAACAAACGAGATATAACATGTTAATTAGTGAGCTTTAGAAGTGTTTGTAGGTGGATTTTGTTACCTTGAGACAGACCTTTGGCTAACTGCTCCCCATTTCCAGTTTTTATGTTAAGCAAATAGGCTGTAGTTTTAGTCTTAAACATGAGAGAGGTATCAATCTTCTCATCTCATTCATCAGATGAGAAGATGTGGCTCAGAGGAAGAGCGGGTCGTCCAGACTGTTCCTTTAACCCCTTATTACACTTCTATTACCCATACCTCACATATTGCTAATTACTTTTCTTTTGGGTATGGCAAATTCTTACAAATGCCATTAAAAGCACTAGGAGGAGCCAGAGGAACCAGATTTTATCAGATTATTTGTCTTGTTTACGTCAGGATAGAGTGAAAGTTTCAGCAAATATGACAAAAGGTTATTTTAATAAAAGTTACCTACTGCAGCTTTAAATTGAAGTTTCAAAGTTTCTATTGTACTTTCCTTCCCCTATGTATCTTTTTCTGTCTCTTTTTCTCATCAGCTTTTTATGTAGCTAATTTTGTTTTTGTGGTTGTGCGATTCTATGCAGTAAAGTATGATCTGAACGACGTGAGGAAACACGCCAAGTTGAACAGAATAAACAATGTAACAACAGTCTTTGTCTTCTTCACCGTCCTCATCAACATCTTCATCACAGCGCTTGGATTTGAGGGACATTCTGTCAGGTAGGCCATTACAGAACACACATACAGTTGGCTCTCTTACTGCTGTAAACTCCTCTGACCTGGCTCTTGGCTTTCTTCACAGGTCACTAGCGTCCCCTGTGATTCCTGAGCCTCAGTTTTCACCTTTGCCCACCGACCTGAACATGACTGGTGGCCTCTAGAGCAGTCTCTGGACATAAATAAGACATTGACTTGTTCACCTGTTATCTCAAAGCATTTAAACGGTTGTGGTCGGACAGCTGCCTTTTTGTAAATTCTGTATCAGCTGGAACTATGAGTCATAGGCAAAAATTCACCAGTAACAAACCTTTGATTACTGAATGACTTTAATGGATCTGCCATCAAACTAGTGCTGTGAAGCTTTTGTGGATCCAGGCTGAGATCCATCACCCAGTAAACCCCCAACCTCAGTGATCATCCACCACAACCTCCACTCAGGATCACAGCTGATAGATTAACAACCAGAAACTTCAGTTTGAATACATGACCACTGCCTCATCCTCCTTCAGGTACAGGTGACTCCACTGCAGTGGGCTGACCCCTGCAGTGTTGAGCCAATCAGTCACTAAATGCACAGAATTTTCTTTTTTTTTGCCAAACTATTTAAAACTTCTATATTGTAAATATAATAGTACTTTTTATTGTTTCTGTTCAAATGTTAGATTGGTGGAATTGTGCTCATTTTGTAACTAAATAAATAAAAAAATTACTTATATCAGTGGAGAATTTGATGGTGTTGTGTGTTTGGAAACATGTCTCTTGCCAATTAATATTTAAAGGACCAGTGTGTAGGATTTAGTGGCATCAAGTGGTGAACTTGCAGATTGCAACCAACCGAATACAGTTTGCCCTTAAAGCGTGTAGGAAAATCTACAGTACCTTCAAAAATGTATTAACACACATTGACAGCAGCCTTTGGTTTTTGACTGGACATGATGTGGGGGACAGCTTGGAAATATGAAAGGGGCTCAGTTCATGAATCTGTGGTCCTACATGATGCCATCATGTACATTGCACAAATAAGAACAAATTAAACACTGTATGTTAGAGAACTGCTGCATGAAGCAAATCAAATACCCAAACTCTGCATAGCTGAAAAACATAGTGTAACATTTCACGCAAGAAAGTGATGGAATTAAAAGAGAGGGCTAGTGTTGTTCTTTATTTTTCTTACCATCAACAAAATCCTGTGAAAAGACCAAAACCATGAACCATGAGTTAGACTCTTCTCAATACTTTCTGACCTTTGTATTCTGTGTGCGGCTCTCAGCCCCAGGCCCTCGTTCCTGCTAAAGATAAAAATCTTCAATCACTCACAAATATACTCAGAGGAAAGCAAGTGGGGACTATTTTCAGTGGCGCATAAATACACATTTGGTGTTCTTGTTGCACTCTTAGAAAGGTCTTGTGTTTGATAACTTTATTCTCCCAGGGGCTAAATATTTTTGTGTATATTCTTCCAGACCCATGCACCATACAATACACAACACAGACTCAACTCTATAACATCACAGCTGCACACAGATTAACTATTCCACCTATCCTGTTTAAACTACAGTGTATGTGTTCATGGCAATGAAGGAACTCGGTGCAACAGTGTGGCTCACTGATATGTT